GCGTCATATATTTTTATTCATCATACAATTTTGAAGAATAAGAAACGGAAATCTCCGGAAATCTTTTCTTTACTACACTTCATGGCACAAAAACAGAAAAATACACTCTTCCTAGTTACTGCAGAAGACAGACTGACTCCAGACCATAAACAAAAGACTGACGAAACAAGAAATAAGACAAAATCACATGTGCAACAGGCAATGTTACGGCCAAAAGGGTAACCCCGTCTCAACATGTGGCAGAAAGTACTGTTGCATCCCTTTGATGCGGCGACTAAAAATCAACAACTGATGGTTCGTCCCAGATTAGTTACGCGTGTCAAATTTGTTACACGTACCATGCAACAATTTTCCGTCTCCACTAGTTGTAACGTAACATGTTCGGTGTTACGTTACGGGGCATTTGACACAAATGGATACCCGCCTTAATACTTTCCCTAATATCGTACCTCGCCGACCTTAACTAATCTAATCAAACCCAACCTAAGGGAACCTAATCTAATTGTAAGCCAACAGAAAAACAAATATGTCAAGAGCAACCAGAAAGAAAAGTTAACGATAAATAACAGCATCGCCTAAGCACAAAATAATAAAATATTTTCAATCTTAAAGTGATGTTTACGAAACAATGGATGTGAAGCAGAAAATAAATTTTTATTTTTAATAGTACTGTGTATAGGTAAATAAAAATAAACCATCTCCACAAAAAAGTATTTATAAATGTTCAAAATTTAACGTAAAGAAAATAGTCCATTAGGATACTAGTATTTACTAGTTTGACTAGTTTATTTAGACACTTTTTTAGTAAAAATAATAGATTCTCGAATTACTATAAGAAATAAAGCATACTTAAAACATATACGAGCACATAGATTCTACTAGAATTAGAGTCTACAAAAAATATTTCCTGGGATAGAATCCATAGTTTTCTGTCTCCTCGATTTTTCGTCTAATTATTGTTACTTGAACATTAATTTGGAATTAAAACCTAAATTTCTTTATAATTTTTTTTTAATAANTGTGGCGCCCTCTAGAAGATACATCGAAATAGATAACAAATTATGATTTCTCGTATACAAAAACATCTACCCCTAAATTTTCACGTTCATACACTCAAAAATATTATAATTATTACGAAAATTCAATTTTTAATTTCCAACTTTGACACCCTGTATCTTTTTTGTTATCAACATTTTATTAAGGCATATTGGCTCCAATCGTAATATTTTGAAGTAAAAAATCTAGTATGTCTCTATGGACCATTACTTACGGACCACCCTGTATAATATATGTAAGTACATATAATTTTTTTTCAAGTGTTGGATTCGCTGGCGTCATTCTTTTAAACAATTACTCAATAATCTTAGAAATGTATGAAAAGGGTAAACCAATTAGTCTCCCAAAAATCTCCGTTCAAGTTTTCTCTAATAAGGTTTGTTTTTAATAACATATTTTAAGTATAAACTACTTCTTGAAACTCCTTTTTCATTTCTTATAACTTAAAATAATTTGTTTTATGAATGGCCATATTATTTAATTGTTCGTTAAAATCTCATAATGGAAAAACCCTGATTTTAGAACATAATCTACTAATTTTCTTGTAAATATTAGGAGATTTTTGATTAAAATTTAATTTTGTCTTTAATTTATTCGCGGAATAAACAGAATAATTACAAAATTTACCAATATCAGTATATTTGGCAACTATTAATCTCATATAATACATATAGAAGTTATTTATCTCAGGTCGATCATTCTTTCGTCATCGATATTACTTCACTGTGTACAAAAAATGGACTTGACAACTGATCTTGTCGCGCTGCAAACAATTATTTTTTTGTCACCGATTCGTGAACCACCTCCAGGCGCTTTGACTTTAAATTATTTCATTATCCCATTCACAATAAAGTTTAGTCACAGCAGTTACGAGCTAAGATTAACAATTATGGTTTTGTGTTTATCAACGACATATGTATAAGTAAATGTCGATTATTTTTTTGTGCGGATTGATAAATTTTGGGTGGTGTAGTTTTGTATATGTAGATAGTCAGTCATAAAAATAAATGTTTTTCTTTTGTATGTCGCATGTTGACAAATTAAAATTGAACATGAGCTTTAGATTTACTTGTTCTGAAGGTGTTCTTTAAGTTCTGTGTATTCCGCAGGTATGTCGGGTAAAAGACACATTTTCTTTTTATTTTAGAACTTTCATGAACATCCGTCTTGTAAGAATTTATGGTTCTTTTCTTATATTCGTTGAAATCTCCCTTGTTTTTTGCGGTCCCGGTTTTGTAATCAGGCTAAATTTAAGGGTTAGTTAAACTTACCCACTGTATATTACCTAATATCGAAATATGTTTACTATAAAACAAACAAAATTCATTTGCCATTTCTTGTTGACTTGTTTTTTACTTTATTATTTTTTTATATAACTCCAAGTCGTTTTGATTTTATTTGCAGCATTTATTGTTTTCAAAAAGTATTTTCGTTTTTTTAATATCGAATAGGAAATCTTTATTTCTGTTTAAGTATTTTTGTGTTATTAGCATACATTTATTGATGATGTTTTTGCAAATTTATGAAGCTATTTTGGTGTCATCTAAATAACTAAATAGCCTTATTTAACTTTAGAATTTTAACAATATCCACCAAATGCAGAAAAAATAATGTTAAAGTTTATCGACCTCTTAAAGTTTAGATGACACTGTACTATTATATGCGAACCTACACTGGGGTCATGTGAAAATTATCTTATCTTTATAATGTAGATTAGGAGAAAAGTATAATTTTACCAATATTCTATATATATTATTATATTTTCACAGCTATTCTTGGCCTTTTATATCTTGTCTCATATGCATGTCTTAAGAAATTCAGCTATTGTCTGCAGTTTCCCACATTTCCATAAAATAATAGACGAAAGAAAATACATTACAAAATTTTCCCACAGTAGAATGTAATTTGCATAAGGCAATGTTTACCTTAACTTTGTTATTTCTAACGGAGTATGAGTACCTGTGGTAACCATCACAATCGTCGTAAATTCTTTTATATTTGTTTATCGGCAATTAAAAAAAATGTTTCTGTAAATTACATATTGTATTGTACTTTTCTATAAAATACTGATTTTTAAATGCTGATTGGTGATAAAACTAAACATCAATTAAACAAGTTGTCGTGTATGTCTTATATGTTTTATTTAAAAATACTTTTGTTTTATGAATTTTTGCGATTAAATATATCTAATCTATTAATCATGTCTGGTATTATAATCCTCCAAAAATTAAAGCCTACGAAAATCGATTTTGAAAAACCATCACGGCGCACAAAAAAGGAAGAACTGATTTTTCAAATTTCAGAAATTGCTGAAAAGTCTTTAATTATGAAACATTTTTAGAATTTATTTTACATCACAAAGAAAATTATTCTTTAATCAATGATTTCCTATTAGGTCCTGTAGTAGTAAATAAATACATATTCAGTTTGTGAAAATGGTGTTTTGGAAATAAAATCGAACTCAATATTAACGGGGTTACATAACCTGCCATTTTTTAAATTAATGAACGAATAAGTGTTATACTAAATTACATCGTTATGTTTGTGAGTAGAATCACCCAAAAAAATTGTTTGTACTCATTTCTGGATCTTTCTGTATATGAATCAGGTGCTTGACGTTCTTCTCCGTTGACGGATTGTTTGTCAGAATACCCATATTAACGAGAAATTACAATGTTTCGTTTTTTGAGTTGTCCGATAACAAATATATTATACAGTTTAATGTATTCATAAACTTATTTTTAATATTTTGTATTTTAATAACAAAGATAGTCGAGAAGTTACATTTTGAGGAAATTTGAGAAAAGTTACTTATATATGCGAAAATAATTACTTTTTTACGGTTTAGTTGATACGAATTTGGCATTTTTTCTCTCAAAACATAAATGTTATTTTCGTCTCAGTCTACTGAATAGATACCTTCAGGAAACTTGGAGAGGAAACCAAAGCCTCAGTATCAGCTATAGTCTTTCCGAAGTCAGTTGAACATGTATAAAAACGCCTGCAATAAAATTTAATGAGTTTCATAGGCGTCCCTAAAAAAGTTTTCTGCAAAAAGTAAAAAATAATAATTTGTATATAATGTGTAGTAAATTTCTATTATATGTATGTTCATTTGGCCAACAACATATTTTAATTACTTATGTCCTCAAACAATTTTATTATATTGATGCCTAATTTTGGTTGACATATCAAAAAACCACACCAAATTCGGCATTGCTGCACTGCACTGCTAGGCAATTTGTTAACAACTGAAATTTATGGCCGATCGCCCAGTGCGGCTGTGTTTGTGCGCCGTTTATCCGCATTCTTCAACTGGGCGCATACATTTCTACCACCTCCACGTTTAGTTCGACCAGACCTGTATATGGGTATGGCTAAATAAATATGTGAACAAGTTTTTCAATGTCGAGTTGCTTTGTAACGACCGAACCTGGTACATATTGCCCAGGTCTTTGGTCTTCAATTGAGATCGGAAAGACCTAACGGTAGCTTTTATGACGTTTTTTATTCGCTATATCCGCCAGCTATAAATTATGGAATGCAAATCGACCACGACCTGCACCATCCGTCCACTTGTTGATTAATTTTTCTTCGCCACCCGCAAAGTTGAACGGCCCATTCCGCCGGCACCTTTTCATTCCCAGCCATGGTTTACTTTCTAACCTGTTATTACTTTCTATCTCTCGGTGTTATCTCACTTAAGTAACTGATTAATCGTACAATCAGAACGTAATCTAGCGTGCTTCGCGCGGGTTGTTTTTTTCGCCGGTACCGTTCTTTTGTTACCACGCTTCTCGGACTACTTGGATGGTGGTCTCTGGCTTGTTTATGTGCGTAATTGACGTGCGATCCACTGGCTGTGGGATAGCGGCGTGTGATGTAATTGTTGTTATTTGTCTGTTATCGCGGATTGTTATTAATGATGGTTCTTTTGTCCGCAGAGCTGTGTAGTGGAGAATCGCTTCCCGAGGTAGAGATCATCAGCCTCCTGGAGGAGCAGATACCTAGGTATAAGCTTAGGGCGGACACCTTGACCAAGTTTGGGGGTAAGTCATAATTGTTACAATATGAAAATAGGTTAAAAGATATGAGACCCGCAGTTTTTTTTTATTTGAATCTCATTAAGTCCTAGAAATATTTAGAATGTGCATTGTGACAGTAAGCGGAAATTTCAAACCCAACGGAAAATGTAAAAATTTTTAGAATATTCCAGTGGCAACATACGCCTATCAATCAGCATCACTGCTTTTCTTCATTGCAATTCCTTCAATGTTATCAAATCCATCCACCAAATCAACACACAAAAGTATTTGCTACAATAAAATAATATCTGTTTGTAAATTAAAAATAACGCATAAAATTACATATATAAAAAAACAAAGTTTTTATCTCTTAAACACCTTTTATTAATCGCTACTAGTTTTGTAACTTTAATTTTGTCACGTCTTCAGTCTTATCTGTAAAATGCCACAGAATCGATATTAAATAAACGACTAAGATATAAAAAATTTATAACTTACGTATTACGGTATAATTACCTATATCAGGATTTGTCAAATTAATATAATAGCATGTTTAATAATAGATAACTAATTTTTTATAACAATATTTGCCGGCAATAAATGAAATTCTTTTCGAAAGTATTAATTAAAGCCATATTTTTTTGTACTTTTTCAAATTAATTTCAAGGAAGAAAACAATTTCCTTGTAGAGAATTTATTTGTTCAAAACCGCTTTAGGATTTATTGGACAATATTGATAAAACGTCTAAAAATAATAATAGATGTTATATTTTATTATCTTTTTTCCGTATTTTCTATATCTTGTTGCCTTCTAAACTGATACGCCTATGGATTTTCGATCCCCGCACGCTTTACCCTCCTTACTAGTCCAAGAGCTAGCGATGAGTCACTCTCCATAATTTCGACCACGAAGTATATAGACTTAAAGGTTCAAAATATTTATTTTTTATCTCGACAACCTTCTTTCACTTATACAGGATGAATCACAAATTGTGACCAAAAATAAAACCTCGTATTCTTTGGTGAATTTTAATGGGAGACTTTCATATAAAGTTTTTATCTAGGACGCTTCGTTAAAAAGATACAGGGTGTTAAACTTAAAAAAATGTTTAATTTAAAAACTAGTAAGTGAAATAATTTGAAATTAGGCACATGTATTTATGTAAACATGCTGAGGCCTTTTCTTAAAATTTGGATATTCCAATGGCGGAGATACAGGGTATCTAAATAAAATAGTACGCCACTGCTTTAGGGTAACAAAGTACTACTCTCTTATGTTTTTCGAAAAACTTAGAAAACGAACTGAAAACTCTTTTACTTAGGTGACATTTATTCGAATAATAGTATATTATTCAACGAGCGTATAATGATGGGTATTATTCACGAGGTGAAGTTTACGGCCACGAGCCGCAGGCGAGTGGCCTAAATCACCGAGTGAATAATACCCATTATACGGGAGTAGAATACTATACTTTATCCACGACTACTAAATATTTTTGTTGAAGTTTTTTTTGAAATGTTTCGAAAAACATGGTATGTTAAGAAACAGATATACGACTCGTACAAATGAAGTCGCTGATGGCTCAGTGTAGATGCTCTTTCCCTTCCAACCGCGGGTCCCGGGTTCGAATCCGGTCTAGGAAAATTCACTTTTTTAATTTTTTTTTTTTATATGTACAGCACTGAATTGAAAATATTTAGTGGTTTACACGATAAAATTTTAAAAACGGATTGTTTGTAGCAGAACAATATAATATTATAGCTAAATTAAGGAAGCATCTGACAGTAGTGATTAATGACTCATTAATCACTGCCGTGATTAATGGGTATTATTAAGGTCGAGCAAACAGACGTATAATGGGTACATTATAAAATAGTCGTGGATAAAGAAATTAATAACATTAGTCATCATTTTAATGATTTTATTTGAATAAATGTTCAAAAATACCTCCATTTTCACGAACACAGGCGCGTCATCCTTTTAGTAACGAAAATGTAATTTGTTCGAAATTTATTGTTGCTTGAATCTGATGAAAATCATTATTTATTCTGTTTTCTAACTGCTCAGAATGTCGAAGTAGCTATCGCAACCTACTATGTAATTTTAAACCGCATTTTATTTGAATATCGAAGTGTTTTCAGTTCGTTTTTTAAGTTTTACTCAAAAATCAGGCCTTTTTCGAAAAACATAAGAGAGTAGTAATTTGTAGAAAATTGAAAGGCAAATCCGAAAATATCGTGACTGTTGCTGTAAAGCAGTGGCGTACTATTTTTGTTAGAAAAATTTGCCACCGATACCCTGTGTCTCCGTCACTGGAGCATATAAATTTTAGGGAAAGGCCTCAGTTTTTGGATAATGTTTACATAAATACATGTGCCCCATTTCAAATTATTTCAGTTACTAGTTTTCAAATTATTTAAAAAAAGTAAAAATACTTTTTCTTAAGTTTAACATCCTGTATCTTCTTAACGAAGCGTCCTAGATACAAATTTTATACGAAAGACTGCCCTTAAAATTCATCAAAGAATATGAGTTGGTCACCGTTTGTGAATCACCCTGTATACGACGTTTCAAACATGACTAAAAAATTACGAAATTATTTTGTTCCTTAAATTTTTCCAGTAGATTATATAAAATTGAATTTTTATATTCGTTTGTTTTAGAATTTTTAACCCTATAAACTATAAAGTAATAAAATACCAAAATGGTGATGATTTCTTAGTCTTGATTGCAGTGCAACAAAATAATGTTTAATGTTAAAATCTACATACTCTGCATGGAATATGTAAAGAAAAAAATTAAAAATAAAATTTTATGTTATATGGCCTACAAAATTTCTACAGTCTACATAAAATTTATTGACACCATTTACAGTCTGTGGGTATTAGATTAGGCCTTATCGTTTTATAGGGGGTACACCTCCGTTACAGGTTTACTACCTGGATAAAATAGTAGTTCTTCGACCGTGTTCCGGTGATGTCTTTGACTTTAGTTCTGTTTAGAGTTGATATTTTCATTAAATAGTGATAGTTATGTGTTTTGAATTCAAGTTTTCGACACATGGACATTGATCATATTGATTGCCTTAATAATGACACAACGTTAAGGTAAATGTTAAAATATTATGCAATTTTATTCAATAAACAATCATTCGGATTTTGTTTTTAAATTAAATACTAAATGGTAGTTAAAATTAGATAATTGCAATAATAAATCTATATTTATCGCATGTTTGTGTTTCGTTCAGGCAAATATTTATTTATGTTTCGGTGATAAAAAAAAAAGTTAAAATGGAAGCTTTTACATTGCCAATTCTAATGTACAGGATGAGAAAAAAATTACTGGAAAGCCATCGGCTGGTGAGAATATATATATATTTTTTGAATCCTGTATTTTCAGAATGGCTTCTTCAGTCGGTTTCAAGAAAAATGCCTTTCCCAAGATATATTTTCCGTCCTGTATCATTTATTTTTCGTAATGTATTCGTAAAACAATGTAAATTGTAATTTCTGTGGAATTTTACTTGCAATTCTCTTTATCTTTACAGTCCGTACACGCACTTATCGTGTTTACGTGACTCTTAAATTACTAAAATATTCTTCAAATATAATAATAATGTTAAGATGCTGATAACGATTGTGATGAATTAAAAAAAGAAAACGGTCGAAAACAAATATGATTTAGTTACATGTAAAATTTCGGCCATCTTGCCATTTTCGTTTGTTTGTTTACACCACGTGATTGATGTGTTGATTGTGTTCCTGATTAGATAACGCGAATGATCTATTTCATTGTTTGTAAATACTTTATTTAGAAAAGACGTTGAAATGTGACACTTTAGTACGTTTGGGTCTTATTCGGATAAATGAAAATCCTTTAAGAAAAATCGCGTTTTAATTACTTATGAGAAATGGAGGATTAAGAAACATTTCTTTGACGTCTTTTAAACATTATTGTTACGAGGAACAGTTAGAACAATTTTTCCACTGTATAACAACATAATTTGGGACGAAATTCAAGGAAGGACATAATAAGTATAAGTATGAATCCATAGGCCGATATCGCATTGGAAGCCGTGGCAGCGAAGCCGATCAGGATGCATTTAATTAAATTTAAATGTAATAAATAAATATTGCTTTGTCATGGCTTCTCATTTGGCATTTTATTTTACTGCAATATTGTTCTACCAGCGATGCCCTATAAATTTAATAACCTTATTGGTATTCAAAGTTGGAGATTAACACCTGTTTTATTTGCCTAATACAACAAAGCAATCGGGAATTCCACAAATAAAATACGTCATGTTCCATAAATATATCTATTTATGACTAGTTCTTCCAATTACAACTTTATGGTACCTAAACTATTGTGAACTATGAACAGTTTTCAAATAAAGCAAAATTAATTGTGAGCTATATAACCCATGGACTGTTTCTTGGAACTTTCTTTTACGAAATACCTAGATTTCTGTCCTTGTAGACAGTAAAATGACGAAACATGGAAAAACATTCCTAAAGGGGTCATTCAGTAAATTTGCAAAAACCTTCTTATTTTGTATACACAAAGTATTGCTCATGATTAGGCGATACTGAAAATTTCAACCCAATCCGTTGAGCGGTTTTCAAACTATAAGATTTTTAAAATGCTAATATTTGTCTCAGCCGTGGCGATGCAATGACGTCACCGCATGGGACGGTCAGGCTTGGCGCTACTTCCAGATGAGTTTATGCATTCTACAGAATGTTTTAGCGTTTGTGCATGTTAAATTTAAAAAATGGAAGCAAATTTCGTAAAAGCAGATTCTTCTAATTTGCTAGAAGTAGGTTTGTTGTTAATGGTTATAGATTTTTTAATAAAAACCACGACTTTATCAGTGCTAGATGAGAGGAGTGAAAGTGCAAAGGTTACGTTTCAATAACGTGTATAGCTTCTTTAAAGTACGTTTGTAGCGAAAGTTTTGACGTTTTTTTACAATAAGAATAGTACATAAGAATAAGGATTTTACGTTTAATTTTACTAAACCGTTTCTGTCACAGGTTTCAAAGATTTACCTAATTAAATACAAAATTCTTATTACTATTTTTATTCCCATGGAAATTGTATAAAATCTACTTAATATCTTATAAATATATTAATAATATTACATTTATTATGTATTTTCATATAAATACTTATTTCGTACCTAAATTACACAGGTAGTTTTGTTGCTTTCAAAATAGTATTTTTTTAAATAAAATGTATTAAAAAAACAAATCAAAGTAGAGATTAATAGACTATTGATTTTAGATCCGCACGACAGAATTACGGGGATACTATTATTTTCTTAGGCGTCTTCACCGTCTTCACACTAGTGCTTTCACACTGGGGAGCGATACAATATTTGTATTTCTATTCTGTGTCTTGCATATTGCTAAAAATTCGGTATCTTAACGTACTAATCGAAACTTAACAGGCAACTAAAGCCCGACTACCCGACTTGACTGACGAGACGACACACGCAAGCATGCGGCATCGGTTTCCCATGCGGTGACGTCACACCTGCGCCGGCCGGTTCAGCGGATACTCAGTGCGCCAGTTTATGATTTTTTTTGGACGACTTGTAGGCTATTCGAAATTCTAATTTTTTGCAGATAACCTTAAAATTGCAATACTTTTCCGTTAAGCAAATAAAAAAAATTGCTGAATGAGCCCATTGTCCATAGTGTATAATTATTATTTCTTTGTTTTATATGAGGGTGCTTTACGATTTTTACCTGGTAAACTTAACAGGAAAACTAATTAATAATTTCAGCGTGAATTTTCAATATTTGCACACCTGTTAATAAATAAATAATTAGCTGCCTACAGTTTATACATATTGAGGTTAAAATTAGGAAAAGCTTCCGATTTAGCCAATCTATTTACTTAAATAGATATGATAAGAGACCAGGTAGATTACAAAATTGGGGGTATTCTTTTGGCTTTAATAGTTTATTAATTAAGGCCCATTTGTAACCACAGGAGATTTTGTTAAGTTACATTAAATTTTCTAGGTAAAAATTGATACAGTTTCTTGTTAATTTTGTAATTTTATTTACCTAATTTAGTAAATATTTAGTACATTAAATAAATTTTGTACAGAATACTGCATATGGGTTTACGCATTTCGTTTATAACCTCAAACAGATTTTGATTAGTTCGAATCTTATTAATTCTCTTTCATGTAATTTTATTCAAACAAAAAGTGACAACTGTTGCCTTCTTATAATAACTGCACGCTTCACATTATAAGAATATTTGAAATATATTTTAGTAATCCCACTATCGGCGTCGTCGAACAATAACATGTACATGTCTCTAATCTGAAGCTTCGCATCGATCAATTTATTCGGTACGTATCTAGCGGCATCTTAATGCCTGCCTTTGTCGTTTGTGCGTGTGTGAGTGAGTTTAACGCTTTGCTTGGTCGAGTGTATGGCACGTGTTTTTATGACCGTCAGTATCATTGTGTATTTGTACGTAAAGCGGAACACGGCTTGCCACAGATTTGACCTATGCCTGCTATTACAACGCGTATTGCCCCTTACTGGCATAATGTAGATTAATGCTGTTTATTTATTTGATTGTCGCCACAAATCCTCCGATATCTAGTCATAATATAAGTGAATATATATGTAGTGAAAAATACTGTCGATATACTTGTAACATTTAGTTGTTCTTTCTTAAAAACGCCAAAATATACTATACATATACTTCTTTAATCTGTGCAGCAATCACAGTTTATAACAATTGTCACATAACTACAACGCAAAATTTAATTTCGGCATACCTGGACGATTTGCTGAAAAAATGGAAATTGTTCTAAATTTTAATTTGCAGAGTGCCCCTGAAAAATTTTGCCAGTTGTACAAAATCTCGTCGAATTACAAACGGGCCAAAGGCTATGTTAAGAGTGAAGTTGATTGGAAGAAAAGCAATGTTGTCATTTATCAGACCAGTAAAAAAATTGTTATCTTATTAAAAAATACAAATTGCATTTTTAATGTGTTCACCGGCTAAAGTTTAAAGTATTAATAAAGTAATATTTCAGTTATTGGTATATCATTAGTTATAGCTTCGTATTAGTTCAACTGTACTTGCTCAATAAACAATCTTTATCGACCCAACATAAACGTGAACCTTGACTTTGGCTCAATAAAAGTGTCACTCGCCATTTTTAATTTAATAACCGTTGCATATTCGCGCGAACAAGTACCTTATTTTTGCACTACTTCCAGAAAAGTAAGCCTGCCAAGGTCTAATTTTTATCTACACGCTGCACATTATATTGTTTACTCGTCTCCACTTCTATTTTAGTAATATGGTGTCTTCTGATAATGCAGGTATTAGTTTTATAGAGATAAGTGCGAGGAACAGTTGTTTAGTTTTATAGTGACGTTACAAAGTCATTTTGGATGTTTGAAGAACGATGAGGAACTAGCCAGTGTTTTCTTTTTGTTAAAGGTTACGATAATCAGGATTGGTTCATCCCATCTCCCGCCCTGGAAATAGACGAGGCCGATTTGAAGTTGTCACCGGATCAGATCCGAGAGACATTGAACTATTTCCGTAAGTATTTTTGTTAGAATATTTGATTTAACTGCGACTTTAATGTTTTTAAAGGTTACATAACGCGTGCGTTTAGGCAGTGGATAATTATTAAAATGAAAGTTGAAATCTTAAAATCGGTAACAGTGGCCGAAATTTCTGTCTGTATTTCGGAAGACAAATCAAACAGTTTTATTGGCTATATTTTTTATAACAGACAGCAAACATGTACTTTATAACCTTGTAATACCGGTCAAAATAAAGTTCTCTCTTAAAAAACAACTGATACTAAAATAGAAATGTTCATTTTAATCCTTTTAAAAATATTAGATATTATTAAAACACAATTGGTAAATAATTTGGTAGGATTTTTTTATTTAGTTATCATTATATTTTGCGACGATTATTGGTTAGATATTTACTATCCATTGTAATGGGTTTTACATATATTTTTTTATGACTGAATCAAATTGAAAACTGATAGGTTTCAACACCATTTCATTTGTTAATATTCAATTCTTATTATTTATTTTCAAATTTGCATACCTTCTGTATCGTTTAAATTATCGTATACTTTGTATACGATAACGTACTTACACGTATTATTAACAAGAGGATTTTGCTAAAAGAATTTTTATAAATTTTCACAAAAATGACCCTATATATTTTTTTCGGATAATGTGAAAATAAGGCGCACTATTAATACACTTGAAGTTTTTGAAAGGGCTTCCTTTCCTTCTCGTTATCATTTTTGTTTGTTCATAGTGACGTTTTTATTATAAATATTTGTACGTGTATATCTGCATGATGAGTTGCTGCACGTAGGTTTTTTGTGCTCTTAAAATTTTTGCAATATTTGTCTTGCATATTGCTAAAA